GAAATGAATAGGTGTTGAGGTGACGTGACGTCAATTTTTCCGTTAAATCTAACGAAGAAACTGAATTTGTTCATAGGTGACGTGTCATGAAGTCATGAGACGTGATTTTCCCTGCTAAATTTAGTGGGGAGACTGAATTGGTGTTGAGGTCACGTAGCATCAATTTTCCAGCTAAATTTAGCTAAAAATTGAATTGCTGTTAACGTCAATTTTTTTTAAACATTTTTTTACGAATATATGTTACAAATATTTGCTCTTTAGTTTTCTTGCGTGCTCTTTGGAGTTTTTTTAATTTCGGCTTTAAAGCCGGATCCGACCTATATTAGCTTTGAATATACGTAGTACAAGCCTACATGAGAAGAGAGCCATACATCGGCAAATCCCACTCATGAGCAGTGGTGTAGCCCGGGATCTTTTTCTGGGGGGGGGGAGGGGGGGGGGGGCTGAGGTGGCTTGGATGTCTATGACTTGGGGTGTGGAGAGAGGGATGGGAGGTCAAAATGCATGTGTATACTATAAGGTCGGCTCTGGATATTTGCGGAGGGGGCTGAAGCCAGATAAGCCCTTCCTCCCCTGGCTACGCCCCTGCTCATAAAGGCCCTCACTCACCCTCATGTTCACGGGAGAGGATGAGTGAGTTTCTGAGCCACGAAAATTCATGAGTGAGATGGTGAGTGATAGCAGTGAGGGCTGTGAGGGGCTGTGAGGACCGTGAGCGCGTGTGGGGTATGAGTTCGTGAGGGGCGTGAGGGCGGTGAGTGAGTGAGGGGCGTGAGGGCCATAAGTGATTAAAAGGCATGAGGGCGGTGAATGCGTGAGGGGCGTGATGGCCATTAGTGCGTGAGGATGGTGAGTGCGTGAGGGCCATGAGTGCGTGAGAGGTGTGAGGGCGGTGAGTGCGTGAAGGGCATGAGGGCCATGAGCGCGTGAGGGTGGTGAGGGTGTGAAAGGCGTGAGGGTCATGAGTGCGTGAGAGGCGTGAGGGCAGTGGGCGCTTGAGGGGTGGGAGGGCCATTAGTCCGTGAAGGGAGTGAGGGCCATGAGCGCGTGAGGGCGGCGAGTGCGTGAGGGCTGGGCTTGAGGGTCGTGAGTACGTTAGAGGCATGAGGGCGGTGAGTGCGTAAGGTGCGTGAGGGCCATGAACGCGTGAGGGCCGTGAGGGCGGTGAGTGCGTGAAGGGCGTGAGTGCGTGAGGTTGGTGAGTGCTCGAGGAGCGTGAAAGCGGTGAGTGCGTGAGTGGCGTGAGGGGCACGAGGGCCATGAGTGCGTGAAGGGCGTGAGGGGCGTGAGGGCCGTGAGGGCGGTGAGGGGCGTGAGGGCCCTTGAGTTCAGTGAGGGTGACTGAAGGGCTCAAGGTGAGTGTGACTGTGAGGATGAGGGTGAGTGAGGTGCTGAAGGTGAGTGTAGCTGAGAGGGTGAGGGTGAGCGAGGGGCTTAGGTGAGTGTGGCTGTAACGGTGAGGGTGAGTGAAGGCGACCTAAAACGCACACTTCTGGAAGAAACTAGCTTTCAGTGTTTTCCTAATGTATTCCTATCTGTTTTTAGAGCGCAGCTCTTAGGCGGCCGTTTCCGGCTTGAGCGGCGTCGGCGTTGCCGTCGGCGTCGGTGTAACCGCGCGGTGCATTAGGGGTAAATTTCCCGAAGGAACCCGAGGTCCTCCCGAAGGACCTTGGTTCCTTCGGGAGGACCTCGGTAGAACCTCGGGTTCCTTCAGGAGGACCTCGGTAGAACCTCGGGTTCCTTCGGGAGGACCTCGGAGGACCTCGGGTTCCTTCAGGAGGACCTCGGAGGACCTCGGGTTCATTCGGGAGGACCTTGGGAGGACCTCGGGTTCCTTCGGGAAAACCTCGGGTTCCCTCGGGAGGACCTCGGGAGAACCTCGGGAGGGCCTCGGGTTCCTTCGGCAGGACCTCAGGTGGACCTCGGGTACCTTCTGTGACCTCGGGGAGGGGGGTCACGTGACCCCCCCGAGGTCACGTAACCCCCCAAGGCCACATGACCCCCCTCCCCCGAGGTCACGTGAGCCCCGAGATCACGCGACCCCACCCCAGGTCACGCGACGCCTCTCCCAGGCCACGTGGCCCCCTCCAAGGTCACGTGATACCTCCCCCAGGTCACGTGACACCTCCCCCAGGTCACGGGACCCCTCCGCCCCGAGAACACGTGACCCTCAGTTCCCTGCCCTCCTCCTCCTCAAGAGCTGCGCTCTAATTCGGTGTTACAGGGAGTTGTAAACGGCTTTCATTTTTTTTTCTGGGAATATTATGCAAGAGATAAAATGAGATAAATTTGTTCTGTATTTTTCCTACGGGTTCTCTCGAGATTCTTAAATTCGGTTTTTACAGCAAGGCTGACCCTACCTATTCTTTCCTTGAACCACTCGCTTTCCCTATTCGCGCAAGTACACATGAGAATACATCTTTCTCTGTTTTTCTAATGTGTTCATCTGTGCGAAGAAATTGACGTCATTTGACCTGAATACCAGTTCAGTTTGTCGCAAACTTTAGCAAGGAAATGGATGTCACTTGACCAGTTCACCATTTGGTGTCCCCGATCAATTTAAGGGAGAAATTAGTAAAGATTATGTATTTCTTCACTTCCTGAATCGTCCGTTTAACGTCGTCTAAGCAAATTTAAATGATCAATTCTTGAATATTTATTTCGGGCATTCTGTGTATAAAAGTCGCTGTTATTTTGCAAATTATACTACTTGTCACATCTCACGAAAACAACTAGAAAACAACACATAAGTATTCTTTCTTATGGGCAAACCTGTGTGTTTTCGTTTCGTGCGTCCACAAAGATCACAGCTCAAATATCGTGAAGAATCTAACAAGGGGAAGTTGAAAAAACACTTTGCTTATCTGCCTAGTTTTGAAAATCTGTTAGTTTGGCACAAGATAAGTAGTTAAGCCAAGCCTTGTCCTGTGGGCAGTTCTTTTCCGTTTTCTGTTATACATAATGACAAATACACAGCGCAAAAGGACAAAAAGGGAAGAGACACACCGGATAGAACAGAGCGCAGACTCGCAACTAGATATTTTAATAGAAGAAAAAGAGAAAGAAGAATATTTTGGTCACCATAATTCGCAGGTGTAACCTGTGCCATGATATGTGGTCGCTATGGCACACGCTGGGCCTTCATAGTCAGTTTCATGAACTCCAACTCCTTGTTGGACAACGAGACAGATGGTGTGCTGATGCAACTTGCTCCTCCACTGTGAATGTAAAAAGCCTCCAGAACCTCTCCGGTTGTTTTGTTCCGGTGTCTTCCCATAACTGTGGGGGCATCAAAAGACGGTTCACATAGACATTCTTTACAGTGAAGTGAAAAATTCCCACCCACCGTGGCTCTGAGGGAGTAGTCGTGCTCACGGAGCCTGTCGTTTAGGCTCCGTGAGCAGGTGGAATTTTTCAGTTCCGATTTTTTATTTTGTTTTATTTTGTTTTTTCAAGTGTTACGCTAGGAGAGTGTTGCGCACTACCAAGCTGCTGCCATGTAATAAGGGTCCCAGACCCAGTCAAGCTGTCTCAACAGCTTTTTGTCTGGGACTCCTTCCAGTGTTTCTGGAAAATAAAGCTTTGATTTGATTTGATATTGGTTTTACTGTTGCTCTTTTTATCTAAGGTATTGGGATGCCCGTATTGTGTGACGTTTCGAAAGAATTTCGTGCGATGAACAGACGACTCAGTAGCACAGGACGTTGTGCTGAAACTAAAAGATAGCTAATGTTAGTTATATACATGGAGATTATTGTACTTAACAAAATGTTACAAGAGGCACGTGTTTGAATTCGCGAGTGCACTACGATATACTTATTTTGTTACAACCCAAATGTAATAAGGTACAGTCTATATCTGCTCTCATGCAGATTTTCGTACTTGTTCCAACATGTTTAGTTGTACTGAATCGTTTTTAAAATCACGCGTATAAAACATATGCAGCTGCAAAACAAAACAATATCTGGCCTATTTAAACGCAAAGTTCAAGGGGCCTTAGCTTGGCAAATGGAAACATTGTACATTGATACTCAAACAACAAGGACTGCGCTAATGGTTACAAGTATACGTCTTAATTACCTGTTTTAGTAACGTGGAGCTCCTTTATCCCGATTTCAAACTGTGGCGAAACGTTGAATTTAATAAAAGCAATCACGTCAAGGCTGAAGACGGTATGAATGTTGAAATCAACAAATAGAAATGTAACTCTACGAGGTAATTAAAACAGGAGCTTCACTTCTACCCAGCACTTACTGAGCTTCAATTATTCTTCTAGATTTAGCCCGGACGATGATGTGAGAAGCTCAGCACAATCTGCGTATATGACCTTTGTTAATCGTACTCATGCATTAATATATATGTGCCTAGGTGTGGTATTGATATATTATAAAAGAAACATAGATTCCCAATAGGTTTGCACAAGTAGGGCAGTGGTTCTCAGCCATGGATGTGTCGGGGACCCCTTGCGGACCGCTGGCGGTGATGGGGGACCCATTCCAAAGGGGGGGGGGGGGGGACGTTAGTAAGTTAACACATCTGGAGCATGAAACATATGCCTTTTACTGCTACGTAGCACAAAAGTATAAAACAAAGGTGCCACATCACTTCATTTTGGTCAGTTCATCAATACGTGGCACAGTCGCGCTTAAACAGAGTTGCATATCTGCGGCCACATTCAACATGTTCCGGTATTTACTTTTCAGGTATGCAAGCCTCGAAAAAGCATGCTCACATGCATACGTTGTAGAAAACTGTAATAAAACCTTTACAGCCATCTCATGTAGAAGGGGAACATTTCTGCTGTCCCCAATCGAAATGCTTCAAGGCTCACAGTGGGAAACTTTGCCTTCATCACTGTGTTTCCTGAAGCTCCATCAACTCATTTTCAGCTTCGACACGTTCATATGCCAAGCAAGCAACGTCGGCTACAAAAGGGGCCACAAGCCATGTGTCTGGGGCAGATTCTGGGAAGTAGTTCTTGATGTGGCACCTTAGTGTTCTCAGATGGGCCATGATCGTGGTTCTGTCACTCCCAGATACTGCCCCAGAGCCTGCAAGATCACTGAGCAGCTTAAAAGGAGAATAGTCGTCTCTGCTTACCCGGCTCAACCAACTTTGAAGCTTTTTACAAAAACCTCTCACCTTGTCCCCAGAAGAGACAACATTTGTGCCCATCCCTTGTAGCTGGTTCAGGTGCTGAAACAGGTCACACAGATAGGCAAGCTTAGTCACAAAAGAAGAGTCATTGAAGGGATCTCCGAGCGCCCCATCTTCTGCCAAAGAAACACTCAGCTCCTCTCTGAGCTCGAACACCCTTGCGAGCACTTTTTTGCGCGACAACCAGCGCACCTCGGTGTGCAGTAGTAGGTGTTGGTGCTCAGCACCCATTTCCTCGCACAGAACCTTAAAGAGGCGACTGGCCTTAGGCCTTCCTTTACGCTGTTCACGACTTTGACGACATGTTGCATGACACTCGCAAGCTCTGGACTTAACTCCATTCATGCCAAAGCCTCTCTATGAAGCATGCAATGTGTGAATGCTACGGCACTGTTCACTTTCTTAACGAGCCCTAAAAAACCTACATTGTTTCCAACCATGGCTCGAGCGCCGTCGGTGCACACAGCTGCACACATATCCCAACGAAGACCACGCGAAACAAAAAAATTGTTAATGGCATTGAAAATGTCTTGACCTCTTGTTGTGGTCACGATTTCCAGACAACAAAGAAGCTCTTCGGCAATGACAGAGCCATTCACAAAGCGCACAAACGCTACAAGCTGTGGGCTCCCGGATACGTCGCAGCTCTCATCGATGGCAAGAGAAAACTTCCCAGCCGACTTTAATTTTTCAATTGCTTGATCCTGCACATCAGATGCCACTTCTCTGATATTCCGGGCTACGGTGTCGTTCGAGCATGGTATTTTGTCCAATTTTTTCACGTGCTCTTTGCCTCTGACAGCAAGGACGACGTCCTTCATGCAGGGCATAGGCAGAGTCTCGCAGATGGTGTGAGGCTTCATCTGTTTGGCCACGTCGTAGCTGAGCATGTAGCTTGCCTTGATAGCATCCGCCGAGCTTGCCAGCTGAAACGAATGTCTAGCTTTGTATGCTGAACCAGTGGCGTCACGAGGGTCAGTGGCACTCGGGGCGGTAGGCCGCCGCGACACCCCCCCCCCCCCCCCCCCCCCTCCTTTCTCGCGTGGCTCGCCGCGACTCCCCCGTTCGTTTTCCCCATCCCGCGACGCGTTGCATACATGTCGGAAGTTGATGGCACATGCACCAAAGCGAACTAGCAAAATCTGCCACCTAACCGCGAGGCCGGAGCCTCTGAAGTGCCGATGAGCGTACGCACAGCGAACAAAACGCACATTGAGGGTCGCCGGCTGCCGCGAACATCGTCAGCACAGCTTCCGTAAAACACGGCGAACAAGCATTCAGCGAGCGATAAGGCTAACGGCCCGATCGGACACCGCAGGCACGTCCACGAACAAGGCGATGCCATTGATCAATAACTTATTTAAAACTGTGGTTTGTTAATTTCGACCTCACCTTGTTTGGATTATCCAGCTTTTGGGATTCCAACTTTCGTTTCGTGGTTTCGAAAAACTCAATGTCCTTGTCTTGGAAGCTTGGATGCTTTGTCCGGAGATGGCATATCCACTTCGTCGGCACAATGCAACTTTGAGCGAGTACTTCACCACACAAAACGCATGCGGTTTGCCGCCGATATCGGCAAAGCCAAACTTCAGATAACTTTCTTTGTAGATATGTAACTTAGACATGGCTACGCGGCTCAGACAAACACGTAACTTTGCGTCCTAGGCCAACCGGGTGAGACTCCACGGCACAGCCACCGATGCCAGTCGAAAATCAGGATGTGCGATATGATAATCCCGCTGCGGGACACCCGAGACACTTAGTTCGGGATGGTGTGGGGAAGATGGAAAGAAGGTGACCGAGATGACCTTGTGCGGATTGCTGCCGTAGTTCCGGAAGCAGGTTGCAAATCAGTCACGGCCGGACTGAACTACAAAAAACGTGCCAATTAAAAAAAAAGAAAAAAATGTTTGTTGAGGGTCTTGCGGACCCCAGAGGTGGCTTCGCGGACCCCCTGGGGTCCCCGGACCCCCATTTGAGAACCACTGATCTAGGGTGAGCAAACTGGTTTCTTAAGCTTTATTAGCAAAAAAGAGCCCATTATAATATTAAAATTGCAACAATAGTAATTGCCACAAAGACTGGATTTGGCTCCTGTCGTACAGTAGAACGCAATCTAAAAAAAGTCCCATCCTCATAAGCTTGTTTGCCATTGCTTTTCCCGTGAAAGTATTTTTTGACGAGCGGAAATGGCGCCACCCTGAACACAGTTTGACCACTTTCAAAGAATTATAGCACTTCTATTATGTGGCTAGCTGGTAGTCTTCGTTAACCACTGTTTTTAAAGGCAAGCGCATATTTGATCGAAATTTGGGATCTTTAAAGCGTTGTGAAACAACGAGTTGCGGACTATAAGTTTAAACTCTGTCTGTGAGACTGGTGGTATTCGTGTTTGTAAGGAGAGGTTTCGCTAGGAACAATGGTACTATTTTAGCTTCAGTAACAGTGGTATAATTTCGAAGCGATTACGGAAACATGTCTAAAGAAACAAGCATGCTGGTTTGTGTGGCGCTGCGCAACGCATAATCACATATAACGTCTCATCACCAAAAGGTTCAGTTTGTTCGTCTGCCAAGCACGAATCTGCCATTACCGTGCCACATCTGTTTCGAGAGGCTTATGATACTTCTCACATTCATAAGAACTCCATAAAGGGCTGCTATAGCAATTTCTGGAGTTTCGGCCCACCATCGCCCACTCTTTGGACGACTCGCTTCACTCCCCAGAACAACCAGTCAAAGATCACGCCTTGCGAAGTTTATCCTGGATTCCGTCAATGAGGGCTAGCTAGACGTCTTCATCTAGATCTGACCCTCTCCTTCCCTTAGTGTCGTGCCACGTGCATCCAGGTCAATGAAATCGCCTGCGCCATCCCCTAACTTTTCTCTCTGTTTGTGGCAAATAAGCGCTTTCTGAATCTGAATCCCTGTCAAAGGGGGGGGGAGGGGAAGGGGTTTTATCGATGTCACCAAATCATTTGAAAAAATTCCTGATCCTAATGGCGCGCTCACACTTGCAGACTCGCGGGCGAATCTGCGCCGTTTTGGAGCCGTGTGACGCAATCGACTCCTTGCTGGTGGAAAATCTGGATCAGTCCGGGGCCCATATCCAGATTTTCCGCCATCTACGAGTCGATTTTCCCACCTGTCTCCAAAATGCTCTTACCGCCTGCGCGGATCCGCCCGCAAATCCATAAGTGTAAACACGCCATAAGACGATCGTTGTTCTCGCGAAAACGCTACATTAATGTAGTACCACCCTTACGAAGTATTGTTCTGAACTCTAAGTGGGACTGTCACAAATACTAGCAGTTTGAAGAGGTTAATTATTTTTGTAAAAGTGCCACATACTAAACGAAGGTTAGGCTTTCTTTCACATCATTTCCAAAACATGCATTTGCCTGATGATGCTACAAAGAATAAAATATTCCGATAGCAAAAGTTGTTTTACTTGGGGGTATTAAGCGTTATATTCAAAAAAAAAATTAACATGCGACAAGCTTTTGTTGTTTAACCTGCGTTTTTATATAAGCACTTTGCAAAGTTATAAGCTCCGAAATACACAAGGCAATGAGAATGGCGGAAAGTGTTTACAAGCGGACGTTCACGCCCTTTATGGAAATCTGTGTGCATACAGGACATTCCACGTTCTGGTTGCTTAAACAAAGAACCTGCGTAAGAAACAGCATGAGCTCAAAATAACGGAGCAGGAAGTTTGAGAGGGTATAATGTATTGGCGCCGATTATCCCATAACTTCAAATATATACATTTACCGCACAAAGTTCTATACATTCCCGGCAAAAAATAGCGAATACGTACCCGCTATCGGTGATACAGATATACGCAGTTCATGAAACATGGGAAATACACCGTTTGTTTAACTGAATATCGGCCAAACATTTTGTGCCAAAAACCACGCGGGGGATAAACAAATAAGCTGCTAATTACCAACTCCGAGGGTGCAATTTATATTCTTTCACATTAAAGGTGCGTTTAGGATTGCGAATTCGCGGGCGGATCCGCGCCGGTCAAGAGCGGACTCTTGAGCCGGGCGGCCATATCTGCTCGTCGCTGGCGGAAAATTTGGGTCAGTCGGAGACCCATATCCAGATTTTCCGCCAGCGACGAGTTGATTTCGCCACCGACTCCAACATCCACTCGCCGCCGGCGCGGCTCCATCCGCGGATCCGCAAGTCTATAGGTACCGTAAATCCGACGCAGCCAAAGCTACGATCCGGTAGACCCAATCAGTCGAAGTCAAAAGTGCATTGTCACGGCGCTCGTCCTCTCGTGGGTTTGCTGTCACGGCTAAACCAATGGTGCACAGAACAAGCGCATGGATTGCGTCGCATTCACTGCGTGTGAGTGACTGGCTTGGTCGGTGATAGCAAACGCATAAACACAACGAGCGCCGTGATGATGAACTTCGGTCGCTGCTTCATCGGCTCCATCAGGTGTTGCTTCATCTCATTGTAGTTTTGAATGCAGTCGGACCTCATCTGAATTTAATATAGTGAGGTACTTAGAGTATTGAATATTGAAGCAACTAATTATTTTTGCGTAGCTATTTTGCGGTAGTGACAAAAATATATATACGGCTCCGGTAGACCCCTTTCAAAAGCGAGGGCCATCTAGGAGCTCCTGTACCAATTATTCCAGTCTGCCATTGATTGATCACGTCCTCTGTGCAGGTATTGGACACGAGTTCCGCGTCAGCTTTCGGCGAACACTCGTATCCAATCACGCGCTTAGTGCCCGAAAAATCGCGACTGCCAATGTTGCTCAATGGTGTTCTGAAAATGATCTATTACAACGTTATTGAGCATCGTCAAAAATCATCCAATCAAATAGTTTTAGCATTACTTGCTCGGCCTGGAAATGTTGCTACCAAGCAAAAATCATCGCTTACCCGGCTGGTTGAGGAAAAATACGGACGACATAAGAAATCCAACAACGAGAGCACTTAAATTTTCATGCATTTTCGAAACCAAAATACATCATCATCATCATCACCACCATCATCATCATTATTATCATTATCATCATCATCTTCATCATCTTCTTCATCTACTTCATCTTCACCTTCTTCAACTTCATCATCTTCATCATCTTCATCTTTATCATCTTCTTCATCATCTTCATCTTCTTCATCATATTCATCTTGTTCTTCTTCATCTTCTTCTTCTTCTTCTTCTTCATCTTCTTCTTCATCATCTTCTTCTTCACCTTCTTCCTCTTCATCATCTTCTTCTTCATCATCTTCTTCATCATCTCCTTCATCATCTTCTTCATCGTCTTCTTCGTCATCTTCATCTTCTTCATCTCCTTCTTCATGTTCTTCTCTTTCTTCTTCTCCATTTATTTTCCTTGAGGGCCCATGGAGTGATTGCCACCAAGCGGTGGTATTTTCCTTGAGGGCCCATGGGTTGATTACCACCAAGCGGTGGTAATCAAACGAAAGCTACAGCAAATACCAACATAATGCTGTAAGCTAGTTAGCTAAGTTAAATAGAAGGACGGTAATGGATTCAACGAATTGATTAGTATCATTTATAGAAACGATGTAATGAGGTAGTGAGTTCCGATCCTCGATAGCCAGGTGTAGTGTGAGAGTCTGGAGAAAAAGAGAAAATGATAGAATTGATTGTAATTTACATGGGTGATCTAAACAAGGACCGCCCTTATTTTCTATACGACGTTGCATCAAATTTACAGTAGTACCGGTTTGTTTAGTTTCACGAACAAAAAATGAAAAGAGTTTACAACTCCCTGTAACGCCGAATTAGAGTGCAGCTCTTGAGGAGAAGGAGCCAAGGCCACAAAGGTCACATGACCCCCCCCCCCTGAGGTCACGTGACCTTGGTGGGGTCACGTCACCCCCAAGGCCACG